GGGAGGGTCTCCTAGGGGAGAAGACGGCAGGCTCCGCACTGGGGAGTCCTTCCAGGTGAGTAGGCGCCCCACTTACCCAGAGCTCTCTGTTGCGCACTTCTGTAGAAGGATGGAGGGTTACGCCCGTGCATTGATTACCGTAGTCTCAATCAGATCACGGTGAAGTACAGTTATCCACTTCCTCTGATTGCGACCATGACGGAGTCATTGCACGGGGCGCGTTTCTTCACAAAATTAGATCTCAGGAGTGCTTACAACTTGGTACGCATTAGAGAGGGCGATGAATGGAAGACAGCGTTTAGTACCACCTCGGGTCATTACGAGTATCTTGTCATGCCATACGGGTTGATGAACACTCCTTCAGTTTTCCAATCATTCGTGGATGAGATCTTCAGGGACAGGGGGTGGTCATGTACATAGATGACATTCTTGTGTACTCGTCTACCCGAGTCGAGCATGTGGCCCTGGTGCGCCGAGTGTTGAGGAGGCTGTTGGAGCACGACCTGTATGTCAAGGCAGAGAAATGTCTTTTCTTCCAGGAGTCGATCTCCTTTTTGGGTTATCAGTTGTCTGCGTCAGGGATGAAGATGGAAGTTGACCGGGTGTCAGCCGTGCGTAATTGGCAGACTCCAACCACTGTTAAAGAGGTGCAGCAGTTTTTGGGGTTTGCAAATCACTACCGGAGGTTTATCCGGGGGTTTCGGACAGGTGGCAGCTCCCATAACATCTCTTTTGAAGGGGGGTCCGGTGCGTTTGCAGTGGTCGGCTGAAGCGGACAGGGCGTTTCGTAAACTGAAGGACCTGTTCACTTCGGCTCCGGTGCTGGCGCACCCGGACCCCACTTTAGCGTTCCAGGTAGAGGTGGACGCGTCAGAGGCCAGGATTGGGGCAGTACTGTCGCAACGCTCCGGCACGCCTCTTAAGCTCCGTCCCTGCGCTTTTTATTCTAAAAAGCTCAGCCCGGCGGAGCGTAATTATGACGTAGGGGACAGGGAGCTGTTAGCCGTGGTTCAAGCCCTAAAGGTGTGGAGGCATTGGCTTGACGGGGCTCAACACCCTTTTCTCATTCTGACTGACCATCGTAACCTGGAGTACATCCGGGCAGCGAGGAGATTGAACGCTCGTCAGGCTAGGTGGAACATGTTCCTGACCCGGTTCGTTTTTAAGATCACTTACATCCCAGGGTCCCAGAACGGTAAGGCAGACGCCCTGTCCCGGCGGTATGACGCAGAGGAGAGGTCCATTGAGCCCACTCCCATACTGCCGGAGTCTTGTCTGGTGGCGCCGGTGGTATGGGAGGTCGATGCGGAAATTGAGCGGGCGTTACGCACGGACCCTACTCCCCCAGAGTGTCCAGTGGGTCGGACGTACGTGCCGCTCGAGGTCCGTGATCGTCTCATCTATTGGGCTCATACGTCACCCTCCTCTGGACATCCAGGTATTGGCCGGACAGTGCACTGCCTTAGTGTTAAGTACTGGTGGCCAACATTGGCTAGGGACGTGAGGGTTTATGTCTCCTCCTGCTCGGTGTGCGCTCAGTGTAAGGTGCCTAGACACCTGCCCAGGGGGAAGTTACAACCCCTGCCCGTTCCACAACGGCCGTGGTCTCACCTCTCGGTGGACTTTGTCACGGACCTTCCCCCCTCTCAGGGGAATACCACTATTCTGGTCGTTGTGGATCGGTTCTCTAAGGCCTGTCGTCTCATTCCAATGCCGGGTCTCCCTACTGCCCTACAGACCGCTGAGGCTTTGTTCACCCACGTCCTCTGGCACTACGGGGTTCCCGAGGATATAGTGTCTGATCGGGGTCCCCAATTCACCTCTAGAGTCTGGAGGGCGTTCATGGAACGCTTGGGGGTCTCGGTTAGCCTTACCTCGGGATACCACCCGGAGAGTTTTTATTTTTTCACCTTTATTTAACCAGGTAAGCCATTTACAACTGCGACCTGGCCAAGATAAATAAATGGTAATTGGCAAGTGGAGAGAGTGAACCAGGATGTGGTTAGGTTTCTGAGATCCTATTGCCAGGGCCGGCCGGAGGAGTGGTCGGGGTATATCCCCTGGGCAGAGATGGCTCAGAACTCTCTCCGCCACTCCTCTACTAACCTGACCCCTTTTCATTGTGTGTAAGGTTATCAGCCGGTTCTGGCACCATGGCATCAGAGCCAGATCGAGGCTCCTGCGGTGGATGAGTGGTTTCGGCGCTCGGAGGAGACGTGGAACGCTGCCCACGTACATCTGCAGTGGGCCATCCGCAGGCAGGAGGCGAGCGCCGAACTCCACCGCAGTGAGGGTCCAGTCTACGCCCCTGGAGATCGAGTCTGGCTCTCGACTCGAAACCTGCCCCTTAGCCTGCCCTGCCGGAAGATTGGCCGGCGGTTTGGGGGCCATTTAAAGTCCTGAGGAGATTGAATGAGGTGTGTTACAGGTTGCAACTGCCTAATGACTATCACATTAACCCCTCATTCCATGTGTCTCTCCTCAGGTCGGTGGTAGCTGGTCCACTCCAGGAGAGTGAGATAAGAGAGACCCCTCCGCCCCCACTGGACATCGAGGGGACTCCGGCGTACTCAGTCCGGTCCATCGTGGATTCGAGATGTCGGATGGGGGGGTCTACAATATCTCGTGGAGTGGGAGGGGTACGGTCCGGAGGAACGGTGCTGGGTGCATAGGAGGGACATTTTAGATAAATCCCGACTGAGTTCCATCGTAGTCATCCTACTCGCCCTGCTCCACGTCCTCCTGGCCGTCCCCGAGGCCGGGGTCGGCGCACAGCTGGAGCCGCGCGTCAAGTGGGGGGGGGGGGGGCGTACTGTCACGAATTCCGCCGAGACTGCTCCTCCTCCTTGTTCGGGCAGGCTTCGGCGTTCGTCGTCCCCGGAGTACTAGCTGCTACCGTTTGATGTTGTTTGGTCTTGTCTGATTAGTGCACCTGTTCCATATCTCGTATTGATGTCCCCTATAAGTTTCCTTTGGTTTTGTTTGTAGTTGTACGCCTGTCCGTTGGTGTAGATTATTTGTTTTCTTGTTAGTGCTTTTTGCACTGTTTTGCGTATTCGCTCGCCTCCTGTTTGTTGAGGCCCGTTGGATTTGTATTTTGCTCCTGTGACTATTAAAGTCGGATCAACTAAGCTTGTGTCCTGCGCCTGACTCCAACACCGCATCCACATCAGCCCCTGACATAATGTTGGGTTTTGAACTAGCGCCCAATTGACTCCCATTCCCTCCTGGAGAGATCTCCTTGTTCCAGAATGCACTGCGCAGCCCTTAGACAACATACAAAATAGGCATTAATACGATTCCAATGGAGTTTCCCCATCTCCTCAAAAGTATTTCTGGCCTGTACCACACATTGCTGCAAGGCACCAATATTGGATGCCAGCCGCTGAAAAACCACAGGGGACACAGGTACACAGTGTCCTTTGCCCCTGCCTGCAGAGCACTGCTTTGCCTCAGTTTTGTAAACATTATGCTGAGGGACATAGACAGCTAATGTAATCAACCCAACCGGATAGTGAATACCCTCGCTTTAACGTTAAAATAACAGCGGAAAAGCAGGCGGCAGTGCAGGACACTAGCAACCTCAAGGTTAGAGAGCACGGCATGTAGTAAACGCAGTCTCCAAACTCTGTAGAATTGACAACTGAAGTGTGATGAGCAATTCTGACCATGAACATTGTGTGGTGAGCTTCCAGCACCTGCTCGAGTAGAATGACTCAAGTGGGTGCTACGTGGTGTGTGGCTATCGAGCGAACCATCTACAAAGCCGGAAGACAGAACTTGAGGGGAAAAGCGTAGTGTTTGCTGAGGATGCAGCTCAGATCTGACAGTTCATCATCCGCTCTTGATAACATCTGAACTACGTCAACGCCCAGAGAAATTACCATCCTGACATAAAAAATTGTTTAAATGACTAATGTTAGTGTTGACTGCTATGTGCTTCATACAACTTAATATAGATCGTTAACGCTGTAATATATCACTTTTTGGGCAACTTTACCAAATCACAGAAATGGGTTGTAGATCTGTCCCTCAATGAAAGAACGTCTAAGCGGTACATCTGTTGCGCGCTGTCTATGCATAGTTTTACACACCGGCATCAGCTGAAAAACAAGTTTGTTATCAAACTATTTCACAGCGGTTGAGACAGTACAACAATACTTGTTTTGTTAAACAGAAATTAGGCAAACCAGAATAGGGACCGTCGTTGTGGTGCTCCGCTCATCCCCCAAAAAAAGCGGCATTTCACACCTCATGCTAACATTTGTTTCATGTGATCAAGGTTTGGCGAGTCTACACGTTGTATTAAAACTTCTTAACCGTCCATGTCCACATTCTGACCAGATTATTTAGTGCCGTGTGACAATGACATACCCAAAATAATATGGATTAAGTCCATTAGGCCTACTGAGGTCATAAGTCAACAGTGCTACCTGGCAATGATTTTAGAGGAAGGTATAATTGATTTGACCATCCAGATCAGTTCACACTTGATAGAGATCCAGACAAAATGTGTGCTTGACTACAGCCGGAGGTGGTCAGGAAGAGCTGATCACAATGAGTATTTTACTAGTCTACAACTGTGGGCAGAGAATATGGACATCAAGACAAAGAACACATGTCAGCGCCAGGTGTAAATGGGTCTTCAGTGAACAGTGTAAGAGAGAATACAGGACACATGTTCAGTAATATTGGTGTGACAGTAGACATTTAGTAATATAGAACTAAAGACACCAAGTCTTGGATTCATGCTGCTTAGTTTAATTCAGACCAACCACCAAAGTTCAGAATTGTTTAAGAAATGCTTTAGCACAAAAGGCACAGGTTTACAATGATTTGAAGTTGATTTTGGGGGTTGGAGGAAAATGAACTGATCCACTCGATGAAGAAATCCCAGAAGCCTTTAGGTTCATCAGGGAAGATATCCTGCAAGACAAACAGTCAGCACCAGCATTCAAGTTCCCAGTCATGTGTGCGAGCATGTATATAACTCACATTTAGTCACAGGTGTAAGCCACCTCCAGGTACTTATAGGTTCCGACACAGGGGTCTCCAAACATGGAGTTGGATGCCGGGACGACACACTGGCTCTTCCCATCACACCTGAGTGTTTAAAATACAGGTAGAGGTTATCACTACAGCCAATGAGTGTACAGGTAAATACACACCGTTGGTTCCCGTACCTTTCTGCCATCTTACTGGTGGTGGTGGATTGGCTGAGGCAGTTGGTGTTGGTGAGTTGGTCATCAGGGCGCCCAATGGAACACACGTTGGTTTGACGACGACCATAGTTGGCACTCTCGATATAGATCTTACCTCCATCTGAGGGAGACGAGGAGGAGGAAGAGATAGATGAAGAAAAGGAAGAAGGCCAAGGCTGGGTGTTTGTGTGGGCTAGAGACTAATATACACAACACCACATGAGAGCGGAGAGGATACCATACTGTAGTGTTGACCTGCTTACCACATTGTAGTTGAGAATCAGAGCCTTCACATATGATGCTGCTTACTGCAAGGACAAACAGGAGTTACACCACACTGGCCTGACAAATAAAGGCATACTATGGCTTGGTGAAGTGTTAGTGATGGGCACTAATAGGGAACGTTGATTAATTAATGTTTAGGCATAAACAGAGTTGTAGAAAGTTAAATGCATTATCTTCAACCGTTACACTGTGGTTTAAGCTCCTTATGAGACGTCGTCATCTCAAACTGCTCAGAATGTGAAAGTAAGCTGGTTTAGCTAGTCGTACCGCTAGACCAGAGCTATATTTCTATACAATTTGGGCCTGTGACGTCTGTATAGCTATAAACGAGATTTGAGCTAGCCAACGTTGGCTGAAACAGATGTTCACTGTTACACAAGATTAAGTGCGCGCAAGCATCAACTAAGCCACAATGTAAAGGAGACCTGTGTGGTACGACTACCCATCTTTCTCACCAAGTGCTAGCTGGCTAATTGAGTTATAAAGAGACTTATAAATAGCAGCTTAAGTGACAGGGAGGGGGGTAGAAGCCTGCTGGTTCCAGACTTGGTGCCGCGGTATCACTTGCAGAGGACAGTATGACTTGGGTTGCTGGAATCATTGAAAATGTAGGGCCTTCCGACAACGCATGGTATAGGAGGTCCTGATGGCAGGGAGCGTGGCCTCAGTGATTTACTGGGCCGTAGGCACTGCCCTCTGTAGCGCCTTGCGGTCGGATGCCAAGCAGTTGCCACACCTAGTGGTGATACAGCCAGTCAAAATGCTCTCAATGGTGCAGCTGTAGAACTGAGGATCGGAGGGCCAATAACACATTTTTAGCCTCCTGGGCAGGTTGGAGAAGAGGCATTGTCGTGCCCTCTATACTACTGCTGGTGCATGGACCATGAAGGATCCTTAGTGATACAGACATTGAGGAACTTGAAGCTCTCGAAAAGCGCCACTACAGCCCAGTCGATGAAAATGGGGGCGTGGTCGGCCCTCTGTTTCCTGTTATCCACAATCAGCTTCTTCGACGTCGAGTGAGAGGCTGTCGTCCTGGCGCCACACTGCCAGGTCTCTGACCTCCCTATAAGCTATGCTAACGAAAGTTGTTGCCGGCTACTTTGTTCCATAACCACCGTTTGTGGGCTAGCTATGGTTAGTTAGGAAGTGAGGGTGGTTTAAAAGTGGAGAAAAAAGGGCATGTATTAAAACACATGGTGACCATAAAACAAAGTTCACAAGCTGGTCCCATTGGTGACCCAACCCATTCCATGGCTTTGCTAGCCATCAGCAGAGTGCGCTCTTTCACCGAAGTATTAAACAATATCCCAACATGCCTCAGTCATACAGACATTCAATACATCAATTTAACGATATTGGTGCCCACCACCAAGTGTTATTAGCACAGACTGACTTGCTACTTGCTGTTGAACACAGGAGTATTGGGTGTCCAGGTACTTATAAGTCCCGAAACAGGGGTCTCCAAAAACAGAATTGGATGCCGGGACGACACACTGGCTCTTCCCGTCACACCTGTGTTTCAAAGACAGGTAGAGGTTATCACTACAGCCAATGAGCGTACAGGTAAATACACACCGTTGGTTCCCGTACCTTTCTGCCATCTTACTGGTGGTGGATTGGCTGAGGCAGTTGGTGTTGGTGAGTTGGTCATCAGGGCGCCCAATGGAACACACGTTGGTTTGACGACGACCATAGTTGGCACTCTCAATATGGATCTTACCTCCATCTGAGGAAGAGACGGACAACGAAAAGATAGATAAGGAACGAAGGAGAGCATCTTTGGTAGCTGATTATATACACTGTTCAGTAGTGTTCACTAGCTTACCACATTGTAGTAAAGCATCAGAGCCTTCACATGTGATGCTGCGTGCTGCCAGAACAAAGAAACAGGAGTTACACACCACTCACATTAGCTTGGTGTAGTAGTATCATCATCATCATTATTACACAGTACCTCCATCCGTTAGTGCACCGCAACCTGCAACCAGCACTGAAACAACATCACAGCCAGTTCAGCAACAATCCACATCATATGCATTTGGACCGTGAAGCTAGAATTTAGCATGTGTCTATCCTCAAGCATTTGAGATATTCTAGTGTATTAAAGTACTCAAGTTTAGCATTTGGACTCATATTCCATGCATGCAATGTGACTATACTTGTTAGACGCATTTGTAGTTGGTTATTTATACTTTTTTGCCCAATAGGAACTGAATGGTTAAGGTTGTCATTTTGAAGATTAAAATACTTCTCAATACGTCTACATACATGCGGATGCTACCTTGAATTAATAGTGATGTGTGAGGAAGTTAAAGGAACAAAGATTATACCCCATAAAAATACTAGCCTCCCCAGTTATTGGTAATGTGAGGGGTTGACATGTGCCCTTGTAGCCTGTCTCACTCATGCTTTCTTAATCATGGCATTAATTTAAAAGTGTTCAGAAACATCTAGAAAGATAATAACTCCAGTCACTATTGGGCAAAACATACACCAAAACACACTGCAAATGCAGCCAAAATACCTTGTAGAGTCACATGTTTGATGTAGTCATTGTGTGCTAGGAATATAGGACCAAATACTAATCTTTGGACTACTGTAATATACTATAGGCAAGTGTCCTAAGACTTTTGACCCATTCACAAGGGGGCTCTAGATACAGTGCTTTTGTTTCTAGACGGTTAAACAGATATGTATTAAAATACCCTCCAATAAAGTGTTCTACCATCATCTCATGAAACATTCAAGCCCTGTCAAAATGTCTATTCCCATACGATCCGTCTCCCTCTACATTACCTGCTGTATTGTCAAATTATGGAAATACTGAACTTTAACAATGCATTATACTGTAGACCTCAAATCATCTAACACGTACTTCAAAACCTCTGAAATACAAATTTAAACATTTAGTGATATGTATTCTAACCTGCATCATATACAGATGTTGTATACTCACAGGTGACCACCATCAGTCTGAACATGATGCCAGGTACAAGCGTGGTAGTAGCAGATAAGATGAAACTGATGGTAACCTGACCTAATACACCTGGTATTTATGTTATGTGACATGTCTTAATTAACCCAGCTGTATCTATTTTGTGTCCAGGTGCACCTCATTGCAATCAGGGGCTGGGCTTTGCTGGTCTGTACCAGGCTTTTGGGTCAGTCTCATAGAGTTATATAGAGGACTCTAGATGGCTAAAATCCATTTTGGCATGAACATTGCCATTGAGGGCTTCCACCAATTTAATGTAGTCATCTGGGTGGGGCTTCGTGGTTAAGGAAGAATCACATGGGCCACGTTCAGTTGCAAAACCTTCTCGAGCGTTGCAGATATACCTTTCATGAATAGAGCCAACGTATTTCCTTATTATTACCATTATTATGTCGGAGAGACATGTTTGTTCACCATAGCACAGTTCTATCTGAACCTTCCAAAACGTTGAGTCCTGCTGAACGCGCCTCATTATTCCATCCGGGTCATCAGGAGGGATCAGCCAATGAATTATACTCGTGAGCAAACATTGCATGACTGTAGGTGGCAGAAAATCTCCAACTTTGATTTCATACCTTTTCAAACAACACTATGTGGCAGTGTGCACCTTTTAGTTTGTTTGCCAACTCATAGAAATAGTAGAAGAAGAAAATGGACTACTTTTAAATGAATATTGACTCAATATTGCCTCAAATTTGATTTGATTTGCTTTGAATGGAGCTTCCCGTGCGCTCACAGACTCCATAATGGGACACATATTAGATGACATACTGTATCTATCATTCTCTATGGTCAGATCCCCATGAGGTATACTTCTGGTGGCTGGGTGTCCTCATCCTCACCTCACCACCATCTGGAGAGCCCTGTGGTTACAATTTCCATACCAGGCGGTGTTACAGCCCTACAGGATGCTCTCAATGGTGCAGCAGTAGAAGTTAATTTAAATTTTAGTCATTTAGCAGACGCTCTTATCCAGAGCGACTTCCAATTAGTGATTGCATACATTTTTCATACTGGCCCCCCGTGGGGTTTATACCCAGGGCCCCGAGCTTAGTGAGGACATTGGAGGGCACTATGGCGTTGAAGGCTGAGCTGTAGTCGATGAACTGCATTCTTACATAGGTATTCCTCTTGTCCAAACGGGATAGGGCAGTGTGCAGTGTGATGCCGATTTCGTCATCCGTGGATCTGTTGGGGCGGTATGCAAATTGTAGTGGGTCTAGGGCAGGGCTCTCCAACCCTGTTCCTGGAGAGCTACCATCCTGTAGGTTTTCAATCCAACCCCAGTTGTAACTAACCTTATTCAGCTTATCAACCAGATAATTATTAGAATCAGGTGCGCTAGATTAGGGTTGGAGTTAAAACCTACAGGACAGTAGCTCCAGGAACAGAGTTGAGAGCCCTGGTCTAAGGTGTCGGGTAAGGTGGAGGTGATATGATCCTTAACTAGCTTCTCAAAGTACTTCATGATGACATAACAGTGCTATTGGGCAATAGTCATTTGGTATTTTATTAGGATCCCCATTAGCTGTTGCAAAACCAGCAGCTACTCTTCCTGGGGTCCACACAATACATGAAACATGACATAATACAGAACATTAATAGACAAGAACAGCTCAAGGACAGATCTACATAAAACATTTTTTTAAAGCACACAAAGCCTACATATGAATGCATACACACAAACTATCTAGGTCAAGTAGGGGAGAGGAGTTGTGCCGTGAGGTGTTGATTTATCTGTTGTTTGAAACCAGGTTTGCTGTTTATTTGAGCAATATAATATGGAACGGAGTTCCATGAAATAATGGCTCTATGTAATACTGTACGCTTTCTTGAATTTGTTCTGGATTTGGTGACTGTGAAAAGACCCCTGGTGGCATGTCAGGTGGGGTAAGTGTGTGTGTCAGAGCTGTGTGTAAGTTGACTATGCAAACAATTTGGGATTTTCAACACATTAATGTTTCTCATAAAAGGAAGAGGTGATGCATCAGTCTCTCCTGAACTATTAGCCAAGAGAGATTGGCATGCATAGTATTTATATCAGCCCTCTGATTAGTTCAGTTACCTTAGCTTTCTTGGGTACAGTAACAATTTTGGATATCTTGAAGCAAGTGGGGACAACAGACTGGGATAGGGAGATATTGAATATGTCCATTACCCTGCCCTGAACCTTAGTCACTGTTACTAGCCGGCAATCACCCGGTACTCTACCCTGCACCTTAGATGCTGCTGTCCTATGTACAAAGCAGTGGAGGCTCCTCAGAGGAGGAAGGGGAGGACCATCCTCCTCAGTGAATTTCATTAAAAATAAAATGGTAAAACATTTTTTACATAAAACTGTACTAAATATAATCATGTCACCAAATTATTGATTAAAACGCACTGTTTTGCAATGAAGGTCTACAGTAGCCTCAACAGCACTCTGTAGGGTAGCACCATGGTGTAGCCGGAGGACAGCTAGCTTCCGTCCTCTTCTGGGTACAATGACTTCAATACAAAACCTAGGAGGCTCTTGGTTCTCACCTCATTCCATAGAGTTACACAGTAATTATGACAACTTCCGGAGGACGTCCTCCAACAAATCAGAGCTCTTGCAGCATGAACTGACATGTTGTCCACCCAGTCAAAGGATCAGAGAATGAATATAGTACTGAAAGCATAAGCTACAGCTAGCTAGTACTGCAGAGCATAAAATGTGGTGAGTAGTTGACTCAAAGAGAAAGAGTAGTTGAACAGTTTTGAACTAATAATTTTTTTCCAAAATGAAAGAGAAGCAAGATAGAAATAGTCAGTTTTTTTCAATTACTTGGCTAGCATATGCAGCTACTGAAACACCCTGCTCAAACAGAGGCATGCTGTCACGTTCGTTGAATGACGGGTCAGACCAAGGCGCAGCGTGATATGCGTACATGTTTATTATCGTAATAAACAACACGACAAAGGAATCGAAACGTGAAGTCCAAGGTAGTACAGAACAACAAACCTTACATGGAATAAGATCCCACAACTAGACAGTGCCAATAGGCTGCCTAAGTATGGTCCCCAATCAGAGACAACGAGCGACAGCTGCCTCTGATTGGGAACCACACCGGCCAACAGATCCACACATACTAGATCGACAACATAGAAAAAGCACAACAAGGAATATACACACCCTGACTCAACATATAAGCGTCCCCTGAGTCAGGGCGTGACACATGCTATGTTAGATAGCTGGCTATGACTTTCCAACACAACACTGGAACTCTTCCAAGTCAAGGTAAGCTTTGAGTTTTACAAATGTATTGCCACGGGGCCCGCTAGAAGGATTACTTTTATACTATTCCAGGTATTCCTTAAAGAGGTAGGGTTTCAAGTGTCTCCGGAAGGTGGTCAGTGATGTCGTGGAAATATTTGACTAATAGATAATCAACTCAAAAATATCTCTCAAGACACCGGAGCTTGTGAATTCAAGAATTAGACTTTATTGCATAACAAAGCCTGAGCTTGCTCCATGGAACAACTGTCTCTCTCTCGCTTAGAGATCTCTTATATCCGCACAGATGAAAAAACATGCGTACATTCCTAACTTTTTTTAGTTCTGCACCACCCTTTTTTTCAACGTCCAGCTGTCACACAATGTCCACTCCAAAAGGTCATGAATGCTTTTTTCTATATGAAGCCTCTCATTCTATCATTCTATTGGCTGCGTGCTTAGGCCCCTTCTTAAAAAAAAAAAGAACTGATGTAATGCATACCATGTGTCTATAACAAGCCCATGGGCCACAGTTTAAGAGCCCCTGTGAAAGAACACATACATTCATTTAAAACACAGCATATACTCCATGTCTATATTCCTTATTTAAGCATGTATCTGGATTATAAAATATCAAA